TGGCGGCCGGACGTGGCGGTTGCGGGGTCGGCACGAGTGCGTGCCCTGGCTGGCCGACAGGAAGGTTTCGCAAACGCCCCTCCGACTGGCTCCTCTTGGCGGACTGGGCGCCTGACCAGGCTTAATTCACAACACAGCCCAGAGGTCGACGGGAAACGGGGCACTTTTTCGAACAGCTGAACGACGTGATCACATGAGCTGTGCGTCCACGTCTGGCTCAGACCCGCGTCCGGCCTCAGGGACTCTGAACTCGTGCTCGTCCCGCTTTCAACGCGGGTCGTGGTGCCGGTCACGTCCGCCGCCACAAATGACCTCAGACCATAACTACATCCTTTGCATCACGGGTGCCTCGGTGACGGGGAGGGAGTCGATTCGCGTGCCGCGTGTGCAAGGGGGTGGAGGGATATTTCCCGGATCGCCACAGTTCGGGAAGGAAGTTGCCGTCCTCATGCCTCGGCGGCCAAGTAGCGCACCCTGAACGTCCCTGGTAGCGCAGCCCCCAGGTCCGCAGGACAGTACACTTCCCTCTTCCACAGACCGCGGCGAGTTAAAACACGCCGCGGGGCGAAAGGCAAACGGACGTCGGCACGACGCCGCCGCCTTCGGACATTTCCATGGAGCAGCTGGCGCCGCACGGCTGTGGACGCACAGGATGGGCGCACGGATGCACCAGCCCGGCCGGGCGTGGCTGTCCGCTCTAGCCGCTGGCCGGCTGGCGCTGGCCGCTGGCCGCTGGCCGCTGGTCGCTGGCCGCTAGCTGCCGGGCGCTGGCCGCTAGGCGCTGGGCGCTGGCCGCGCCGATTGGCAGCGGGAGGCCTCGGCGGCCGAGCGATCAGCGACAGAGCGCCGACACCGCGGCCACGCTCCGCCGCGCAGCCCGCAGCGACCGCCGCAGTGGGTCAGCGCTATTCAAACAGACGTGACTGATGGGCAATGGTGCCGGCGCGTCCGCCCGCCGGCCCGCAGGACCGAGCGTCGCCTCAAGGTGCTCGGAACGCAGACTCGCGCCGCGCCGCCGGCCTGGCCACCGGCGCCGCGCGGCGCAGACTCGCCGCCGGCCCCCTGACACAGCAGATTCGCCGCCTCACGGCGTCCCGCGCCGCCGGCCTGGCCGCCGGTGCCCGGACACGCGGACCTACCGCCCACGGCGCCTCCTCTGTGGCCGGCACCCTCTGAACCCTGACGGCCGTCGATCGGCCGCGAACCGGGCCGGTCGTTAGCGTCACGGTCGGCAGGAGCGGCGCCCGCGACGGACGCCCCGGCCGGCGGCCGCCGCCGCCGGGCACGGCCGGGGATCCGTCGCCGGGCAGCTGGGGCGTCCCCGACAGGAACGGCGCGCGGGCGGGGGTCACCGCCGGGGATCCGTCGCCGGGCAGCTGGGGCGTCCCCTGGCAGGAGCGGGGGGGGCGGGGTCACCGCCGGTCACCGCCGGGGATCCGTCGCCGGGCAGCTGGGGCGTCCCCTGGCAGGGGCGGCGGGCGGGATGGGTCACGTCTGGCCAGGTGGGCGGAGGAGACGTCAGTGGGAGGAGGGAAACACTTGCTGCTGTCTGGAACGATCACGGCAGGGCAGCCGAATCGTTCGACCTGTCATGTCCGGGAGATAAATTGATGCGAGATCTATTAAGGAGTTAAAGCATAAGAAGTCATCATACTTCGCTTCCCAACGCTGTTAGATGAACTCTTCCACATCTCGGAAGCATTGCGCCATCATCTGCTATACAAGACACCCCGCCTGGCACTTCACGGACGATGCAGTCACGGAGCTTCGCACAGCTATGGTTGGTGGCGGGCTGCTGCAGGATGGCTTCCCTTTTCCAGCGGCATCCAGCAGCTCTGGCGTCAGCACGGACGCGCAGCGTGGATTTTTCCAGTGACCCACGCAACAAAAAGACCATCACGAATGACTTCAACGTCAGCAGCACTGGAATATTCGCATCCGATTCAATTTGCTGCAGTGACTAATCTCCCTGCCGCTTGCCAAGGACAAAATACAGTTGGGAATTGGGTTTTGATTAGGTTACGGAATGTCTTGAGCGCAGCTCTTGCGCGATGGGACGCCGTCATACAGTTCAGGCTGACATGGCGGAACCATCTCAATAAAGAAAAAGAGGCAAGTGTTCCAATAACTGCGGCCTAGGACCTGTGAAGGTTTCTCCGACGGGTCTAACGCGCATGAGGTCATCATGACATTAACTAAAAACAGCCCGCGTCCGAGGTCCGGCGGCCGGTCACGGTCACCCCGGGTGGTGGCGGGGCCCGACCGCAGGTCAGCACGTGCGAGACACCGGGCTCGGACGGAGCGGCGCTCGAGCGACCGCCGGCGCGCCGCAGCGGCCGCCCCGGCGGCGGCGCCGGCGCGTTTCACGGTTACCGCCAGACCGCGCCGCGCAGCTGCGCGGCCGGCCGACACGCTGCGATGACGGCGGCGCGGCGCGGCGGCGGTACTGCGCCGGTCCACGCGGAAGCGTGAGTACTGCGTGCCTCTCAGGACACTGGGCTTCCTAGGGTAGGAGTGTGGAGGACGGGTCTCCAATGAGAGATCTGGGAGAGGGCCCCCCCCCCCCTCCGGCGAGATGCTGTTGATAGCTTTCAGGTATACAGCACCGCCGAAAAAAAACGAGCCAGCGACCCTCGGAAGGTGGTACAGCCGGGTCGCACCTGTTCATGTCCTCCGTCGCCCGGACTGGTACGGCCTGGTCGGAATAGGTCCGGCCGATCAGACGATCGGCCTGGCGCCGGCACCTGTAGCGCGCGTCGATGCCAGTTTTTCCCGTCCGGACGTGTGGATATGTCGGCGCGCCAGCCGCACGCTCCGGGTGCGTTTCCCCAGACGCGCGGCGCTCGCAGGTAATTACATTGTCTTAATGGCCGGCCCGTGATGGCACCGACATTGTGTGACGACAAAGCGCCACTCTCGCCGCACCTGACGCGGTCCGGCCCAGTGTGGGGCCGCCCTGACGGCGCGCGAGGCCCGCGCGCCGCCGCCCGACGGCTGGATCAGGACCGTACCGCCGCCAAGGGGCTGGGGCGAGCACGCCGACGTCGTGGGATGAGGACGGCGTGGTCTGGTGGGGACCGCCCCCACCGGGCCGATGCACCTCGGATTGCACGTGAACGCATAATGGAGCGGCGCAAGTCTGCCGGGTGCCGCGCCCCGACTCTGGCCGCGGTCAGCTGGCTCTGACCCGGCGCTGATGAGGTCAACCCTGGTCAGCCTCAGGTCTACGTGAGTCAGCCGCTGACCCGGATGGCCTCGGCCTCAGACCATTCCGGGTCAGACC